CATATATTCAATCAGTAATATTTCTATCTATTTTGAAATCTGTAAAATTCTCTTAGAATCGAAAAATCGCCTAATTTACTTTTTTGCAAAGCGCAATAATTAGCAGTTTGTTGTCAATCAATTCCAATCAGTATCGCTGGTAGGCTTATGTATCGATCAACGTCTACCCTGAGATTTTCTAGGTAATTTCTAAAATTAGATAAATTATTCGTTTCAAGATTTTCTTTGCGTCTGACAAGATTTTCATCAGATCATTGCATGATGACAATAGTTATCATAAAGATATTCTATAGTTGCCGTTAATTGTGTTTCTGGATCTGCGATATATTGTGTTGGTCGTAGTCTTCTTATTTTTATAGTAAAGTATTCATTTCTGTTCTGAGTAAATTTGTCTATTTTGTAGAAGTAGATGTGGTTTGGTATTTTACTCCATATTTCTGGTCATATTTATAATTCATATAATGTAGGTATTTTTCCTACTGCCATTATTACACTTAACCTATCTTTTGGTTCAAATATAGATAAGTATTTTATATCGTAATAATCATTGATTATTTTATCTACTCTTCGAAGTTGTTTCTTGTATTTCTTAATGATTTCTTCTAATGTTTCTTTATAGTTCTCAAATCATAGAATATCTATTCTTGTAGTCTATTCTGGTTGTTTGTTATGTTTTTCAAATTCTTCTTCCATTATAGTTAATGTTTCTTTTAATTCTTCTTCATTTTCTAATGTTTCAATATCTAAATACAGATATTTTATATTAGGTATCGATGAATGGTATGCTTGATATTCTTCTTAATAGTATGCTTCTATTTCTGCGAATATTAATTCTATATTTTGTTGAAACATTAGTGATTGTATAGTTCCTTCATATATATACCATTGCAATGGTTCTGCTTTATCTGGTTCCATTTGTTCTGGTATCATATATTCATCTGCAAATATATGAATATTATTCTTTCGATTTTGTATTTTGCTTCTAAGGTTGAACAATTCCTTTGCGATGTCTATTCCATAGTACTTAATGCTGTTTCTGACCAAATATTTATTAATTTTTCATCATTTAATACAATATTAGCTTCTTCAAAGGTTTCTCGGAGTATGGTTGCCTTTGCAGTTTCGCATGCTTTTCCATTTCCATCTAAATTTCCTTTTTCTCCCATTCCTTGGTTATGAAGGTAATATGGTTTTTGAGAATTATTTCGTAAGGATAAATATATTTTTGTTTATTCTTCTTTCTTTTTGAATAATGCTAATTGTACTATTCTTCGTAGTAGTAGGTCTATATTTTGTATTAATGAATTTATTATTAACTAAAGATTTCTATATTTTTTACAGTTATCAAAATATTCAGTTCTATTATTATCATATGTTTCTTTATAATCATGGAAAGTTGTATATTCTTTACAATTTTTGCATTTTCATATCCATTCTGGTATGCTCAGGATTTTTTGATTTATTTCTTCAATGACTTTTTATGCTTGTAATTCTATTCGATATTGTGTTGAGTTATATCTTTTATTTTTAGCTTATTGTCTATAATTTTTACAGGTTTTAATGCTTTGCCTATAGAAGTGTATCCAAATTCTTCTTGTTTCTGTATTCTTTTACACCTTGAGCAGCATTGCTTTCTTGGTAAATTTTGGATTCTTTTCAACTTTTCTTCAAAGTTTCTTTTAGGGTATGGTTTTCGATTTTTTCTTTTTAATCGACAATTGTTATAGGTTTTATATATTTTTACTGATAATTCTTTAAATGCTTCTGGATATTCTAATATAGTTTTACAGCTTGTATAGTATTGGCTTGAAGGTATCTCTTGGTTCATTCATAGTGTACTTTGTTATTTTCTTGTATGTATGAAAATTCATGCCAGATTTTTATTTCTGCTTTGTCATTTGAATAGTCAAAGTTATCAAAGAATATTAGAATATAATAATCTTTTTCTGATACAGTTGCTGTAGAGTTTTCTGATTCTTTAGATTTTATGATATTAGTTAGTTTTTTGTTTCCAATAAATATTCCTTGGTGAACAAGAATTTGTTGCGGTTCTTTTGTTGTAAAATTTATTACAAAATGTTCAATATCTGTAATTTCTTCTCTTAATAAGAAATAAGGGTAAATTTCCTTGTCATATAATATAAATACTTTGTCTTTTGTAATTTCTGATGCTTTTTCAAAGTATCCTAATGGTGTAGCAATAATACATATTACTGTTTTTTTGTGTTGGAATATTGATTTTTTGAATAACCGTATTTTTTTTTTTTTTTTTTTTTTTTTTTTTTTTAATATTAAGATGACCACTTAGGTCCCGGCACTTAGCTTTATTCAGATAAATACGATATTACATCAATTTCACGAGGATACAACTAGCCACACGTGTACT